CCTTTGTCCCTTAGAACTTCATGAAGAATAGGTGTGGGCCAAGCCTTTTTCAGGTTTTGGCGTGATATTATCTCCTCTAGCATGGGTTTTTGCAGATTATTGGCCAGTTATCCACTTGGTATATGAAAAATCATTACCATTACATATTCTTGAACTACTTTAAAGCCTGAAGCTCAAGAGGGCCATAGTTTTATCAGTGTAGATTTTTCCCTCTTTACTATGGACACAATAATAGTTTTAGCAAAATTAAGAGATAATTTTAACATTCAGTACAGGTGTATTATAATACAGTATGCTTTTCAAAACATGTAGTATATAAAGAAGTAGTATAGTCTGACCAAAAAGTAAAAATAAACACATTCTTTTGAAAGTCACTCTTCCAAACTGTATGAACAGTACAGATGTGGGAAGGTGGGCAAGATGCTTATGCTTATGGAAGGAGAAATACAGGTCTTAACTTAGAACTCAGTGGCAGGACCTTGCGCAGCATTCTGACTCACGATGTTCGGCTTGTGGCCTATGGAGTGGAATTAAATAACCTCTCTAGTTAATTTGATGGTTAGCCAGAGTTAAAAATTGTTACTTTGTAGGTTAACTAATACTGACAAATTCACATTTTATTATTATCAGGATAATATTTGTGTGATCATACTTTTGGCTTCCTTTCAATGTATATAAGTACATTTTTATAAGATAAAGATGTGTGCCTTTTATAAATAATAATCTTGTTGTCTTGAAATAAAGCTCTTCTGAGATAGTCAAGTCTGGCACACTGGGCTGGAGTGCCTTAACCATCATGCTGTTCTTTTTAAGCCCAGTGTTATTTGCTTTTGATTAATAAGGAAAGCTAATGATTTTAGAAGCTTTGTAGCTAACTGATTATAGAGTGATATTCAAATTAGAGAGACCGGAATGATGTATTTATGAGGATAATGTAGAAGTGTCCTCCTTTCTAAGCACTTCTCTTACTTTGCATGGATTGTGAAAGTTGTGACTGATGTCTTGCCTTAGCTTACCTCTTCCTCCTTTGTTGACAGTGCTTGGTATCTGGTTGACCTGCTGCCCCCTTATTGCTATGTGTCACTGACTCAGGATTGATCTGAATGCCAGATGTCATTTTTGTTTCTTATATCAGAAAGTGTAATTCATTGTCCTGTTGTTACACTTAGCAGTAATGTGTTCTCCAAGAGCAGACACTGAGTCTGTATGTGTTATGAGAATGTTCATTAGGAATTAATGCCTACGGAAAGGAGTTGGAGGACCAGGATTGGGTGGAAAAAGAAGTCAGACAATTGCAAGCCAAAGCTTCAGTCAGCACTACTGTAATTCTAGAGGGTTTGTGACTTTCTGAGTCATTGTTAACTTGGTCAAAATTGTTAGTTCTTTGTCTTTCCACATCAGTTGTTCAGTACATATGTGCTGTTCCAAGACAGGGATAGGAATTGGGAAGAGGCTGTCTGTTGCTCTGAAGGAGATATACATAGGAATGAACACATCACACCATATTCCATAAGTATGTACAATACTGTGAGTGAAAAAATGATTATACTGAAAAGTAGCTCCTCTCTTAAGCTTGCTCTGCAGTGGCAGTGATATCTAGTTTCTCTAAAGCTTTGTCCTTCTACTATTTATTCCCATGTGTCTGGTATCATAACATCTAGTTTCAGGTGTTTCGAGACTTAGGAACTATAGACAGATTGTAAGGAAGGACTCGTAGGGACTCTCCTAACCTGACTCAGGATTGTGGCTCCTACTCTAGCACTGCTTTTCCTTAGGCTCTCACAGATCTGCTACTTCTTTATGCGTCTCTGTAGAGATAACATGGTTGAGACTTGGTAAATGCTGTGTATTGCTGAGCCAGAAATACTCTCTGTGTGTAACTGCCTCTAATTTTTACATTTCTTTGCTAATACTTTGATTCTTTTTTCTTCCCATTCATATGTACCAAATACTAGACAATCACATTTCCAGTATTCCTGTAAATCAAATGATGTATCATGTCTGAGAGATAAATGCTATACTGCTGAGCCATAAACTCAGCCCCTGAATGTGAACTTTAAAAATTCAGTTAGACATCTTTATGGCCCCCTTTTGTGTGGTGAATTAGAGACAGGAATAATGAAGTTTGTGACTCTGTCCCTTACATGTGCAGCAGGTGGTGCTTCCATGACGCTGTCTTAGAGTTGAGGAGGCTTATGGAACTTCCAGATGTAATGACACCAGCAACTGTTTCTTCTTTTCCCTTTCGATGAGTTCCTGTCATCTTGTCAAATGGCCTAGTACTCTGAGGCTAGAAGCCACACTAAGTAGGAAAACTGGAATTTGTGGCTTTTTTTTTTTTTAAAGAATAATTAACGCTCAAAATTTTTGGAGTAGTCCCTGCGTCCCAGGCTGCAGACCCTGCTGCATCCAGTTCATTGACATCACTTCTGTTTTCTTCTGAAGGAAGTCATGGCTTTATGAAAAGCCACTTATTTACTATTTCAGAGCGTTATACCAAGATGCTCAGGCTCATCTGCTCTTTATATATTCTAGGAATTGTTTCTGGGGGTAAAATGTGAAGGAATAACTAATAGAGACAAACAAAGAATAGAGGAAAATAGAAACAAGGCATTTATTGAGAAATAAGGAAATAATTTGTTAGGAGGTTGTAATAGAAAGGAATGTGCCAGTATTTTGAAAACATAGGGCAGTTGAAAACCGTAATATATAAGTGATAGGTTCATTAATGGCTACAAATAAATGAATGAAAGATGCAACGTAGTAACGTACAAGCATCCTGTCTCCATGAGTGCTCAGACTCCCTTCTGCCTAGACTGCCTCAGATTGCTCTTGTCTATCCTCCCTTTATATTCCTCTCCAGTGCTTGGATTAAAGGCGTGTCATCCAAGTGCTGGGATCAAAGGTGTGAGCTCTGTTTCTCTTTTAGACTGATTCACTCTCATGTAGCCCAGCATGGCCTTGAACTCACAGAAATCCATCTGCCTCTGTCTCTTGAGTGCTGGGATTCAAGTTGTGGCCACCACTGCCTGTTCTCTATGGCTTAAGTGTGTGGCTAACTAGTGGCTTAGCTCTGCACTCCGATCTTCAGGCAAGCTTCATTAGAGCATTAAAAAAAACAAAAACAAAAACAAAAACACTGCAGACTAAGTGGGCCTTCATAGCTCTTTCTGTATAGAAGGGGGAGATAACTGTTAACCAACCAGTAACACTGGGTTTAAAATTAAAATTGTTGTGGAGACCCTAAAGGTGAATAGAGATTTATGAATCGAGACTTTTCCTTTCTGAGATGTCAGGAAAGCCTTGTATAAGGATTGTTATTTTTTTCCTTTGATTCTTTTTTCCTACTCTTGATTTTCCAGAGCGCTGAGGTAACAGGCAGTTAGTTCTAAATGTCTTCTCTGTAAGCTGTGGCTGAAAGATCACAATGGGAATTACAAAATATTTATAATGAAGAGAAAGTAAAAGTGCTCCATATCAGAACTTGTGGGACACAGCTCCAGAAACTGCTGCAGTAAAAGAAACTCTCTAATCTTAAACGAAAATATTGGAAAAGGAATGAGGTGAAAATGAATTAAGTCTCTTAACTCAGGAAGCTGGGAAAGATAACAAAATTAGCTTGAATTACAGAGAAGAAAAAGGTAAAATGAAGTTAATTAAAATTAATAAAAAATACAGAAGTAAGGGAAGAGAGCAATAGGCAAATATTTGAAAACCACTAAAACAAAAACACTTCATTAAAAGTCACTAGTTTAGTCCCTAGTGAGTTGTCACTAAAGACAGCTATCTGGTTTGAATCTTGCTAGTATAGAACATGGAATCTGGAGGCAGGCTGTCTGCCTGCAAACCTTGGCAGAGGCCTTGAATGTAAGGTCAGGTGTCTGAGCTGCTCCATCTGTAGACAGGGTAGATGACTGTACCCACCTGTGCAGCTGTGGAGAGCTGGCAATTGCTTTGGGAACTACATGGAGTGCAAAGCAGTAAACAAGGTTTCAGTTTTAATCTTATAAAAATGCAAGAGAAGCTGGGTGTGATAGTTCACACCTATAATTACAGCACGATGGAGACGCAGCAAGTAAGTTACCAGGAGTTCAGTACTAGTCTGGGTGACATGGTGAGTTGAGGTTAGCTTTAACAATTTCAAAGGTGAAATTGTGCCTTAGAGTGTAAGCCAACCAAACGACAATGGCAAAAATAACAAAAATACAAGAAATCAATATTAGATATGGAACTACTAATACAGTATATAGATTTCAGAAGTCACCAGCTACATTCTAATTTGAGAAGTGGATAAAATAAATATCTAATTAGAAAAATCAACACCACTGAAATACATTTTAGGAGAAACAACTTGTGTGGGAAAGCTAAAAATACTTTATAAAATGAAAAATGTAGTATAAATCCCCCCCAAAGTTCCATTATCACATCTACAGCAGCCTCTTACTTTCCCTGTATTTTAAAGTGAGGTACTTGTGATAAAAGTGCTGCCACTAGAGTGCACAGTGATGTGTCTGTGTGCTGTGTCACTAGAGTGCACAGTGGCGTGTCTGTGTGTCGTGTCACTAGAGTGTACAGTGGCGTGTCTGTGTGTCGTGTCACTAGAGTGTACAGTGACCTGTCTGTGTGTCATGTCACTAGAGTGTACAGTGACGTGTCTGTGTTTTGTGTCACGAGAGTGTATAGTGACGTGTCTGTGTGTCGTGTCACTAGAGTGCACTGTGACGTGTCTGTGTGTTGCGTGATCATCTTCTCAACAAAGAATGCTTTCTTCCCCAAAAGCACCCTACACAGAATGAAAATTATCATAGTACTTTTATTTCCAGGAATTACTGAAGTGATAAAACCTTTAGAAAGTTTTAATGTGAATCACAGCTAGGATGGAATCTGTAAAACCCAGTTTTTAAAGAGTATTCTTTAAAAAAGAAATTGAAGTTTTTTTCATGTGAAAAGGCTGCCTGATTATTTTCCAACTAAAACTTAAATGTATTTATTTTTTTCAGAGACATTAAACCTGACAATATATTGATGGACATGAATGGACATATTCGGTTAGCAGATTTTGGTTCTTGTCTGAAGCTGATGGAAGATGGAACGGTAAACAAACATGAATTCTGCCCGTAGACATTCCCCTTGCCAGGTCTTCTTTCTCTGTTCTAGAGACTCTTTGCTTTCACGTCTGCCCCTCAGTCGTCCATTTGTCTGTGCTTCACCTCCTTTCACAAAGCGTCAGTCATACTTGCTCATAATACTATGCTCAGAGCATCTTACCTGCCTGTAATAACCAGCTTGAGAATGGTGCTTTGAGAGCCTTGCAGCTTCTTTTTTCACTACTACCTATTAAACTCGAAACGTTCCTAAGTTTCTAAAGTAACAAAGAATGTAAGTTTCATATACAAAAAGAAAGCACAACTCCATCTTCATGTGTGCCTTTTTCTAATGACATAGTTGTTGTCAGGGGCTGTGTTCAGCTAACGGATCTTGTGTTTTGGGTGAAGACTAGGTAGCATTAATTTTGTATTCCAACTTGACATTTGCTGACTAAATCCTTAAGTTCTTGTTCAGTTAAAAGAGTATATTTTCAGATTTTATTGATATATATAATGTGTGTGTGTGTGTGTGTGTGTGTGTGTGTGTGTGTGTGTGTGTGTGTGTGTGTAAAGGCAGGCCTAAAGTTCCCCAAATTACTCATAAAGGCTGGACCACCCACACATTGCATTGTAGAGTCATAGATGAGTGACATCCACGGGGACACAGAACAGCAGACCAGAGAGTCAAGCAGTGCTGGAGGAGTTGGACCAGCACCGTGAAGTTTGGGCATTAACTTTTTATGAGGGCCTTACGGAGCAATAGCATACCTGTGCCCCACCTGTACTCATTTTGGATCTTGAACAGTTGTATAGAACATCCACTGACTGTTTCTTAAGCAGTTTAGAGCTTGCTTACTTCTGTTTAGCTTTACAGGTGGTTTTGTACTAAGTTTCATTCAGGTTTTTTAATGTTTACAAGTCTGGTTGTATGCTCTTCCTATGTTTTGTTGAGTTAATATACCTTTAGTAGGACATAGTAATGGGTGTTGATCCTCAAACTGGAGCCTCTTGCATAGCCGCCAGGCTAGCTGAGATGCACCTCTTACTATTCTTAGTATCATTTTAGTTAGTTTGGTGATATACTTCTGGTTTTACTTTATCAGAAAATAGTCCTATCTTACATTAGGGCTTTTTTTTTTCATTTGTTGAAATCTACTTTATAATTTTGTAACAGTCAACTTTTGTATATTCCATATTTGTTTGAAAAGAATATATTTTCTGCAGCTCCTAGTACAGGGTTCCATACATGTCCATAATATTTAATTGGTTTTGCATTCATGTTTTATACTCTTATGGGTTTTCTCTATTAACCATTATTTGAAAATCCTTACTGTATTAGTGGATTTGTTAATTTTTCCTTTGTAATTATCAGTGCTTTGTGTCACCTCCTTTGTAATGTATTATTTGAAATTATTACTTTTTCCAGGATATATTCTTTTGTAATTATATTGATGAATTAAAATAATCTTAATAACTTGCTAATATTTTATTAGTGCTTTAAATTTCGTTTAATGTATGTGTAATTCAATCTTACTACTTTCAATTTATGTGCTTCCATTTTGTTTATCTTACTTAAATTATGTAACTGATTTTTCTCTCATTTATTCATTTGGTCTTATTTGTTTTTCATTGATAAATCTCTGTCCCTTGACAGGTTCTTTAATCTACTCTTGGATATTGTGACTTAGTCCAATAGCCTGTGCTATTACTGTTAGGTTTTGCTTGTTATTTGCCTGAATGCTTTTGTTTACCTACTGCCCAGTGTATTTTATCTTTCTTACTCTCTTTATACTTGGAAGATAAAATTTTATTTTAATATGTTTGTTTGTTTGTTTGTTTGTTTGTTTTGTTTTGTTTTGTTTTGAGACAGGATCTCACTATGTAGCTCTGGCTGTCCTGGAACTCACTTTGTAGACTAGGCTGGCCTTGAACTCACCGAGATTCATCTGCTTCTGCTTCTTGAATGCTGAGATTAAAGACATGCTACTCTGCCTGGCTCATTTAAATATTTTAATGCCTCTCTTTAGCTTTTAAAAAAATATTATAGTTTATTTACATGTAGAGTTAATAAATTTTTCCTACTATATTCCCAATCTAAACAATCAACTTATTTTACTTTATACCACATGTAGAAATCAGTTCAAAAATAGGTCAAGAACTATGTAAAAACTAAAAAACCTCTTAGAAAACATAAGGGACAATATTTATGACTGTATTTGGCAAATTTCTTAAGAATAACACAGAATCACAACCCCTCTCCATACCCATCATGGTAAATTCTATTCTCTTCAAACTCTGTGTGCATCAAACGGCATAGTGGGCAGAATGAAAAGACAGCAGACAGCTAAACAGTGTTTCCCAATCCCTTATCTGATTACATGCTAAGAAGATGTAAGGAACAGCCACGGATTATAATTAGGTTCTGGCCTGCAGCACTCTAACGGCCCCACAGGTGCTGAAGTCTTAATCAGTTAATCACACTTGTGCAAGGCTCAGTGTAAGGGGTAGTTTCTGCAGGAGCTTTTGTTCCCAAGCTCAACAACAGAAAAACAGCCCTAGTGAAGAGTAAGAGAATTTTCCCAAAGATTTACGAATGAGGAGTAAGCATATGAAAAGATGCTCCGTAGAACCTGTCATTAGAAAAATAAGTCAGAAAGCCTGTGATCCCACTACAGTAACATCTCTGGCCTGGTGGGATGGCTGCTGCCAAACCAGAAAACAGCAAGTGTTGTCAAGGGTGTGGATGATTGAGAGCCCTAGGCACTGTCAGTAGGAGTGTAAAATAGATAGCTATTTCTTCCAGATACTAAAAATAAAATGAGCATTTATTATTTTCATCTGTCTAACTTGGTGTAATTGTATTTTCAACTTCTTAAAATTAAGAATTTTGGTTTTATACTTCCCTTCTATAATTTTTTCCAAATAAGTTTTTTTTTTGTTTGTTTGCTTTTTTTTTTTTTTTTTTTTTTTTTTTTTTTTTTTTTGAGACAAGGTCTCACTCTATGATCTCCTTGGCTAGTCTGAATCCTGCTATGTAGACAAGGCTGGCCACAAACTCATAGAGATCCATCTCAGTGTTAATATTTAAGGAGGTGTGTACTATCATGTCCAGTGCAACTAAGAACTTAATGTACAATAATCAACCTTTAGTTTTCTTAGGTTTCTTTATAGGAATTTAAAATTATCAGTATTAATCTGAATGAGTTGTTCTCTTCATATCTAATTGCAAATTTTCAGTTCCATTATACATATATATGCATATATAATGATTGCACAGATAAATATTAAAAACAGTAAGAAAGCAAATATAGTAGTATACTGTAACCTAGTACTTGGGAAGTTGAGGGAGGAGGATTGTGAGTTTGAGACTAGCCTCAAATACATAATAAGGCCTTGTCTCTGACAGCCAAACCAAAACAAAATTAATAGTAATGTTGTAATTGAAATATTCATTTTTTGTTAATGACTGTAATGACTAAAATTATATTGTTCCCTTAAATGCATTCAGCTACAGTGAAGGTTCTGTGAGGTTATGAGTAATGAAAGCTGTTAATATAGAGGTCATCTAAAGTCTTACTCTGTAAACTAGGAGACTAAATTCAGATAACAAAAATCTTACTGCCTGCTGTATATTTCTCAAGTAACTTTTTAATTTAAAATCATCTCTCTAATATAGTATGTTAATAAAAATATACACTTCTTCAGGTCCAGTCCTCAGTGGCAGTTGGAACTCCAGATTATATTTCTCCTGAAATCCTTCAAGCTATGGAAGATGGAAAAGGCAGATACGGCCCTGAGTGTGACTGGTGGTCTTTGGGGGTCTGTATGTATGAGATGCTTTATGGAGAAACACCATTCTATGCTGAGTCTCTGGTGGAGACATATGGAAAAATCATGAATCACAAAGTTAGTATATTTACTCTTACAATTTTCACAGTAAATACATACAGTAAATTAAAGTCACATGATAGTAAAGAGAAAATACTTTTTTCACAACCATGAAAAGTCATATTCTTTTGTATACCAGGGGAAAATTGTTAGTAACCACAATCTGTGAATAATTAGTTTTAACTTTTTCATATATTTTGTTTGGAAGTGCTCCTAAATAGAAACATTGGTCTCTATAGTTGAGTAACAGAGTTTAAAAGTAGTTAGTTTTATTAGTTTTTACTATATAATATGAACAATCATAGCAAGCATGCATATAAAATTATCAGCATTATTAGTAGTAAATGAAGTGTGAATAAAGATAAAATTGAGATTCTTTGGAGCCAGAAAGATGATTTGTGGCTAAGGTGCTTGCTGTGCAAGCCTAGTGACCTGAATTCAGTCCCTGAAATGCATGGAAATATGGAAGGAGAGAACTCGCCCCACAAAGTTGTCCCCTCACCTTCCCATGGACAGCTCAGCACTTGTGCACACACACCCAACCATGGACTCACACATGACAACTGCAGTTTTGTTTAACCGAAATTCTTCTGTCAAACTGGCAAAGACAAATGAAACATTGTATTATACTCTACTGCAGCAACTTGGGAGCTCCTCAGGTTCCACTGTCAGGACTACATATTGTAACTTCCTCTCACAAAGTTAACAGGTATCCATCTTGAGCCTAAGATGATGGTTTGAGCTTTTGATGGAACAAGGTCAGATCTAGAAGTCTACCTGGTGGAAATATTTAGAACAAAAATACATATATGGAATATCTGTCCCAGTGTTAATGATTACAGCCCACTGGCTGCACTCCAGCTGCATGCAGGAACAAGATCACAAAACTCCAGTTCTGCATCACCAAGTGCAGAATTGAATAAACTGTCCAGTCACAGAAGATTGTGAACAGTTGGAAAAGTCCTCAGTGAATCTGAATGTCCCCAGAAGAATAGGATAATCTGTACTTTTTAATAGGTTCTGGTGTTTTATTCATATAAATCAATTTTATAGATTTTATATCTTCCACCAAGATGCATAGCTAGAGCAGTAGGTAGTTATGAAGAACTGCACGATAGGGAGACATTGAAGGTGGAAAGCACATGTGTACCATTCAGAAGGAAGTAGCTGCAGTGCAGCATGCTGGTTAACTACACGGGTGTGGAGAGAGTTCCAGTCAAGACCCTTCCTGTCAATTATTAGTTGTATGGCATTGAGAAACAATGACTGTATACCTCAGCTTCATCTTCTACAAGACTGTCGTCATAGTAGTTCCTACCCAGTGTGATTATTGTGAGGATTAAATGGTTAAATAAGTAAATCATTTTGAATAGTGCCAGATACTTGTTACATTTTTAAGTGTTTAATGATTAACTGATATTTTATGTTGTACCTGGACATTATCAATAATCTGTGTTCTTTTGAACTGCTGTTGAGTTAAATTCTGCTACTTTTAGTCAGATCCATCTCATTTTAACATCAGCTTAAGATCCTATAGCATCTGACCTCTTTTTGTAGTTCATCCGTCTTGAAGTCACTTAAGAGAATTAATTCTTTTAGGAAAAGGATTTATTTCTCATTATCCCTGTACCTCCCAACAGTATCAATGCTCTGTGCTATCAAACACTAGATGTTTTTCAAAAGGAAATGTGTTTAAACAAGTTTGCTATCATGTTGTAAGTACACAGGGGATTTGTATTTACACCTTATATTGTTGTCTGTGTAGGAGAGGTTTCAGTTTCCACCCCAAGTGACTGATGTGTCTGAAAATGCTAAGGATCTTATTCGAAGACTCATTTGTAGTAGAGAACATCGACTTGGCCAAAATGGAATAGAAGACTTTAAGAAACATCCATTTTTCAGTGGAATTGATTGGGATAATATTCGAAACTGTGAAGCACCTTATATTCCAGAAGTTAGTAGCCCAACAGATACATCAAATTTTGATGTGGATGATGACTGTTTAAAAAATTCTGTAAGTATGACATGAAGATGTCCTGTCTTTCTGGTCCTTATAAGTATGGTTATAAAGTAACATTTTTGTTTATTAATTTGGTGTCAGGATTATTTTTCTCTTATCAGTCACACAGTAGTTAATGACTTCCAGTGCTTTTTCTGTCATGTATCAAAAAAAAAAAATTAAGAGACTTAACTGAATTCAGTATAGTCACTCATGACCTGTTCCTTAGCTACTTGTGTAAGTAGGTTTCCTAAGAAGACAAGTTTAGATGCTTTAAAAAGTGTATTTCATGTCCCCCCCCCAAAAAAAAATAAAAGATAAAATCAACCATGAAACTGGAAACACATGGCAAAACGTTTTAGGGCTTACTATAGCCAAAAGGAAATAAATATTTATTCATGAAAAACTACTGAACTTTATTTGAAACCATACATAGCACACCTCCTACCTCTCACCCCATCACCTGTTCACTTGTGCTTATAGCATGGAACAAAAAGCTGATGCCTTGCTGCCAGATGGGCACACTTTATTTGGAAGGCTCAAATCCAACACCCATATTGTTGCCACTAAAACAGCCAGCTGGGTAGGGAATGAATATGGAAATTCACCCCATAGTCTTCTTTATCTGAGGTAGTCTCTGCCTGAGCCAAATAGTTCCTCCTCTCAGTTCATGGACTGTAACAAGGCCAGCATATTGTGTTGACTCTGCTCTCAAATTTAAGAAAATCAGAACCTAAAATTTTGGGTTTTTTTTTTCTAGTCTTATTTTAAGCTGTTAATTTATTCAGTAATTTTGTATCTTTGGTTTTAGTTCAATACTAAATTTTATATTAATTTTATGTCACATTTTACTGTTACATTAAGTATTGAATTCCAATCTGTATTAGCAATAAAAAACCCAGAGTCAGATATTAGGGGAAGAAAGCTGAAATATCAGAGAAGCAAAGCAGCCAGCCACTAGTTCTTACCTCTACCTCAGACCAAAGTGGCGATCCTGTCTCCACGAATCCTCAGACTGAATATTGTCTCTACAAAACCTCAGACTGCATCCTTAGACTGAATCCTCAGACTGCTTGCTCAGTCTGCTGCCTCAGACTGCCTTGAACTCCTGTCTCCTCCCACCTTATATTCGTCTCTCTGCCCAGCCATATTCTTCCTGTCTCTACCTCCTTAGTGCTGGGATTAAAGGCATGCCACTTCAAGTGCTCTGTGTGAGCTGTTTCTCTTTTAGACTGGATCAATTTCGTGTAGCCAGAGTGGCCCTGAACTAACAGAGATCCACCTACCTCTGTCTCCTGAGTGCTGGGATTAAAGGTGTGTGCCACCACTGCCTGACCTCTTGGCTGACTAGTGTGGCTTGCTTTGCATTCTGATCTTCAGGCAAGCTTTATTACTATGTTCAAGGTAATTGTGAGCTGTTAGATTATTTAAACTTCATAAGAAGGAATTAGATAGATTTTCCTCACCAGTTTTTAAATTATATTCAGTGTTGACAGAAATTTTGGGTCATTCCAAGTTAAGTGAATATACAGTTGATTTTAATTATTCACAGTAGTTGTATTTTATAAAGTTATGGTGAAAACCAAGTTAGTTGACATTGACCATTGCTCTGTAGAAATAGAAGGTTAATGAATTTGAAGGAGAGTAGGGAGGTGTATATGGGAGCTGTTGGAGGGAGGAAAGGGAAGGGAGAAATGTTGTAATTATATTATAATCTCCAAAAATTAAAGAAACATAAGGTTAGCCTCTGGTCACATTTTCAACAACTTTGAATATAAAAACTTTTTATATGTACTTCTATTTAAAGGTACTTCATATAATAATATATACCATTGATTCATTACCATTGAACTCATGTCTAATAGTACTATAACTTACTCCTAAAACAGTTTATCTAACACATGTTGTTTTCTCTGAAAAGGCACACGATTACTTTTTTGTGTTGCTACATTTGATGGCAGCCAGGTGTGGTATCACACACCTCTAATCCTAACACTCTGGTGGGGAGTGTGATGGAAAGGATCATGGGTTCATGTCTACCTTGGTTATAAGGCCAGACTCTGTCTTGAAATTTTAAGAAAAATAAAATAAGAGCAATTATCAGTCAGAACTTCTGGGAGCTATTTTACACAGAGATACTATCAAAAAAGACACAAAAATGTTTATAGAGTGTGCCAAGGGCATCTGCTTCCAGTGTGAGAAAAGAGGAGCATTCCACGTTCAGTCTCAGCAGGAGGAGCAAAGGGCATCACGCATCCCCTACTCTACACACATCTTCAGTGACCACATAAGCCCTGAGGATATAGATTGTCCTCTTGCAAATACATTTTGCTTTTAAACTGTGTGCTGAAACATGCCTATAATTTCAGCACTTGGGAGGCAGACATAGGAAGATTACAAGTTTGAGGCCAGTGTGGGCTATGTAGTGAGGCCTTGTCTCTATAGAAAAAAAAAAAAAAGCTAGACAAATTTTCAGATACAGAACACACAAATAATGACTATAATTTCATTCTTTGTTAGGCCTTTTAAACTTTATTTGTTTGACTTTTGTAGTAGCAGTACCTATAGTCCACATTTTGTATCACTGAACATCTCTACCAAACTGAATGGTTATATATCCCCATTGATAGTTAAGAGCTGTAAATATAGATTTCTTACCAGATTGGTATTCTTCTTTTCTTTTTTAGGAAACAATGCCTCCACCAACACACGCTGCATTTTCTGGCCATCACCTACCATTTGTTGGTTTTACATATACTAGTAGCTGGTAAGTTTTAAAAATCAAGATAAGTTGGGTAACTTATAAAAATGTTAAGTAAATTGAAGCTTGAAAATGGTATATACATGGTTGTTATGGCGAGGAGATGGATTTAAATGTGAAAAAACAAAGGATAAGCCTATTTTGGTATTATAAATAGAATAAACTACCCAAGAAGGAAATGATGAGGACAAGTGGCCCAAGTCATACCCATTGGGACAGGGCAGGAAACAGCAATAAAGGCACTTAATGAATATTCTGTATATGTCAAGCACCAAAATTTCCAACCCATTGTTCATGTCATTCTTTACTTTTCACTCCGCTCTGTCCTCTCATCTCTCCCTTCAATGTCCCATAAGAATTATATTAATCACTTCCTGTGTGCCAAGGCAGTACCTTTAACTATCTCTCAGCTGCTGGACTTTCTTAGTTGAGTGAATGTCCTACATTTAAAATCTAAGCAATTCAAAGTGGTTGGAGCAGACAAATGGTTCTTAGCAACCAGGCTAACTTTTCATTGAGGTTCACCAGCTTTGAGGATCGTATTCTGTGTGACAAACACGTGGAATTGTATTGGTTTGTTCTGCCCTGTATGTACCAAGGTAACCATTTCATACTTCTTGCAAGGCTTGGTCACCCTCATTCTCCACTGATGAACTTGCCTTCTTCATCCCTGATAGTTGACAACAGCTGCAAGTGCCTGCCACTGTTTTCTATCTGTCCCCAGACTCTCAAGCTCTTCTTTTCAAGGATGGACCATGAAGAAGCTTGGCTTGGGATGGCTCCTCCCCTTCCTTCCTGCTTGGCTTAATGTACTGTTCACTTTTATGTCATAGGTTTTTCTCCTTTACATGCCATTCACATCATTATGTCCTGCCAACCGCCTTACCAGACATGTAGTTATTTCTTCCATCTTAAAACATAAAGCCTTTCTGGATCTCATTCCTGATACCAATTATTTCTTTGGTCTGTAACAAAATTACTTCTCTTAACTGTCCATTTTTAATACTAATCTTTCTTGAATGCACTCATTTCGGATTTGTGCCCCAATCACTTCATGCAAACTGCTTTTACCAGCACCTCTGTTGGTTCCTGTGTTAACAGGTGTAGTGATTACTTCTAGTCCTAGTCTTGGTTGCCCTTTTTCACAGTTGCCACTGCTCCATAGGAAAACATTTAACTTTGTGTCCATTTCTCAGTCTCCAAACATGAGTCATCCTCTCACCAGTTTCTGGGGATCAAAGTGTTCTAGGGCTCAGCCATGGAACTACCCTTCCACATTCCCTGTGACAAGACATCACCTTGCCTTCTACTTAAAACCTGTCTGAACTGTGTGTGTAATATGTTCATAGCTCCTTTTATTTCCTACATCTATCAGAACTGCCCTGTTGGATGAATAAGACAGCCTTTTGTCCCTGTTCATGGCCATTTCCCTCTATTCCCAATCCCCTTTTCTTTGTATACTAAGAATAAACCAAGGTTCCTATAAGGCCCTGTACAGCTGTCTCAGTCATCTTCTATTCCTGCTCTTCAGGTTGTTTGCCATGTTCTGTTTACATAGACTTCCTTAAGGCCCAAGAGCCTTGTCTTGGGATGCTTGGGCCTCTGTTCTTCATCCTGACACTGCCTTGCCTGGTACCTTGACTCAACTTCCTCAGCTACCTGCATCAGCACAGCTTTCCTGATTACTCCTTCTAAATTTCTGTCTTCTCTCTCTTAAGACTTCTCTCTTTCCTACTTAATATTTTCTCTTTAGCAGTTAACATTTTCTAATCTTTTTGCATGCTTTTATTTCTATCCCTTTTGCTAGAATTTAAATGATTGGCAAGAATTCTGTCTAAATGTTAAATTAAAATACAGTTACATCATTGTGCTGTCCCCTTCCTTGCAATCCTTCCTATGTCCACTCCCTCCAACTCCTCATGTTCACCTCCCCACTCCCTCTCAAATTGATGACCTGTTTTTCTTTGATTATTTTACACACACACACACACACTCACTTTCTTTTCTGAAACCACTCAGTGCTGCTTGTGTGTATAGGCTTTCAGAGCTGACTACCTAATTTTATATAAACAATTAGGTAGTTCATGCCCAAGGAAGACTGATTCTTTCTCTCAGCTATCATTAGTTGCTGTAGTTCTTTGTCTATGGGGATTCACTGGTGAATGCCATCATCTCAAATATCTTTAATGTGCATTCAGAAAAGCACCCCACTTTAAAAGTTTTGAATTTCAAATTCTATTAATGAACACATGCAGATGGTTTTGACTACTGTTTCAGTAAACTTGTCAAATTGTTTTAAACTGCTAATAACCCTGCAGTAACTTTGTTTTATAATTTATGGAGTTTTAAATTGAAAGATAATTTGGTGATGGAAGTTTTCATTTAAAATAGTTCTACAAATAGCTTACAGTAATTTTGCAGAAAAAATTATAATCATTCCGTGGTATTCTAGATATTTTACTATAGATATTCAAATATGAAGAATTTTAAAATTCTTTTTTTTTTCTTCTTCAAACTTTATTGCAATATGAGCCAAAATTATTTTTTTTTCATTCAGTGTTCTTTCTGACCGGAGCTGTTTGAGGGTAACAGCAGGTCCCACTTCACTGGATCTTGATGTAAATGTCCAGAGGACTCTAGATAATAACTTAGCAACTGAAGCTTATGAAAGAAGAATTAAGCGGCTGGAACAGGAAAAGCTTGAACTTACTAGAAAACTTCAAGGTAAGTATTTTAATATTTTCCTCATTTGAGTTGAACTCACAGTGTTTTGAGCTGCATTACCAGGGCTTTTCTTCAGAAGGAATCTTTTTGTAAATGCTAAAAAAATGTAGTTGTAGAAATACATGGAGAAAAGGGTATAATGCCATTTATGTAAACATTACACAATAGTAAATAGCACCTGGATGTGTATTTCTATAGATATAGATGTGTACATGCAAATGTATGGAATAGAATACCTCTGGGGTTGGGAGAGTGGAGCTTTCATGAAAAAAGAACCCTTCTCACCCTGACATGACACTTTAGTGACTTTTCATATCATACGTGATCAGTCCTTACACATTGTTACCATCATACACTGTGATGATTTTAAAATACACGTTAACATTCTAACTGTTTCACTGCTTTTCTGCAGTGATTCTGATCTTTCCTTAATCTACTCAGTTTCTCAGAACCCTGAAATCAATGTCACAGTTCTTTTACACCCTCCTTTCTCACTCTGAGCAGTGATGATATTTCTCTTGCTCCCTCACTGTATGCTTCTGTTTGGAGGCTTTTGCTGTATTTCTGTAAGGATTCCCTTGTTTCCTGTGTTCCTCTTTTGTGCTTGTGTTTTGTTCCTCATTGCGAGTGTCTGTTGATTTCTACACCTGAGTTGTCTGTGTGTGTGCTGCTACCTTTTCTTTCTTTGATTGTTGGTCATGTTCTCCTGCTGCCCACAAATGCCTTGTAACGTAAATTGTGTGACTAATATAAGTGAAAATAAAAGACAATCGAGTAAATGCTATTTTTGCCCCAGAACATTTTTTCCCACTCTTCATTCAATCAGTAAATGAGCCTGAACAAGGCTGGATAGCAATTTTTATTAATTCAATCCACCTCTAATGTCAGAAGTGAAGGATTTGATAAGCCTGGTAGGGTATCTTTCTCCTTCACTTGTAACTAGGGGAGATTTGTTCTATTCTTCAGCTTCCTCATCTTATTACTTCCAAATCTGGAAGTAATAATTAAATACCTTGGTGAGGAGACTGTCCTGACTTGATGCAAATACAGCAGATATACTTACTAATAGGACAAGAATGCCTTCCCTAAACAGTGTCGTAGTCCCCTACCCCCACATTCTCCAGAAGGCTTGGTGGCTTTGTATTCAACATGAAAGTCCTCAGTTTTAAGGGGCTAACAAGCTGGCCTAATAGGAAAGTGCCCCTGTGACAAGCCTACTGAGTAAAGTTTAATCCTTGGAACTCATGGTAGAAGGGAGAACTGACTGTTGAAGACTGTCCTCTGTCCTCTGTGCGAGTGCAGTGGCATGTGTACTGACACCTGTAACACTCCTCAAAAGCAAGCAAGCAAACAAATATTAAAAATGTTCCACAGTTTAGGTCAAGCTTCAGCCTGGACAAAGCCTTTCATCCTACAACAGCTTACTCCTCTGTGGTTCATTTTACTCCGGCTTTGCTTTTGCACTTCCATAATGGGTTTACAAATGAAATTTTTTTGCATGCTTAGTTTTATATTTAAAAATTATTTGGTGTATTTTTATTGTTACAAAAGGAACAATAGAGCAATAGCCATGAGAGCTTTCTATATCTTAGAGTTTAGTGTGGTTTTGATGTATGAATTCTTTAATTTTTCTAAGAGAGTGTTGTTACACATGAGTTATATATAGTATTTGGGCAAAGCAAAGTTTGCTAACTAAGCTGTCTTCCAAGTCCCAAATTTAAGTGTCTTTTAAATAAACTAAAACAGTGGATGTCCTTTTCCAAATAAACACAACAGGATCAATGTTAATACTAAATAAAATGTTAACCTGAATAAAATATGTTTTAGATACTGAAGTTGTGATCAATGTATGATGTAGTATATCTGACACTTTTCATTTGGGCTAAGAAATGCTTATTGATGACCATGCTGCATATAAGCATGGTGACATATTTTATCTATGTGTGTGATTTGTGCTAATTCACCAAGATCTGTTTCATCAATAGCAGAAAAGCTGTTTTTAGGACAAAGGGTCGTTTCATTTCTGATATAAACTGTTCTTTGTCTTTTGCTAGTACCTGGGAAATAAGCCTTATTATAGTGTTCATGTTGCTTATACATTTCATCTTCTACATATAACTTCAAGATAAATTGATCTCTTTCTATCAAATGTTTTAATTAAATTGAAAAGCCAAATCACCTGTAGCTAATCCTTTAATTTCCTATATGAAATCCAGAATGTCTCTATGCCAAAAAGTACATCTAAACCTTTCTTCATGTCCTATTCAGTTCTTCATATGTTATATGATATGTGATTTTTTTTATATCAAATGATGGTCTCTGCTAGGAGAGAAACATAAAAGTCTGAATAGTTAATTCTTTGTCTTAGTTGGTCAATAGTACTTCAAGCCTCAAATCTCATACATATATTAGAAAGTTGAGTCATTAAAGTCTATATATTTGGATATCTTGTTTACAAACTGTAAACAGGTACAATGGAACTGTATGCTTTAAGGTGTTCTTAAGCTTTTTCAGTTCTGAACAGTGGAACTATTAAAAAAATTGTGTAGAGATATGTTGACATTAGTTTTAAAAAATTTAAGTCTCTGATTTTGATTCTTTAGTTCTTCTTTATTTTCAGAGTCAACGCAGACTGTTCAAGCTCTGCAATATTCAACTGTTGATGGTCCACTAACAGCAAGCAAAGACTTAGAAATTAAAAGCCTGAAAGAAGAGATTGAAAAACTAAGGAAACAAGTATCAGGTGACTTCCTGAGGTCCATCATTAGTAGATTTTAAGAACTAGTTTTACACACACATAACTGTCTTGTTGATGTTACGTGTTATGAATTATATGACACTGAAGGAAAGGCAAGTAAAACTTAGTCCTGGTTTCATGAAGTTCATGATTTGATCTGGAAAGTAAATATGTAAGTCACAATTGCCACAAAGATGAAGGGGCTTTAGGGAAAGTAGAAAAAGGTGCATAGAGAATACATAGATTGTGCACCCACCTAGAGAGAACAAAGATAACTAACACAACGACTTTAGTTTGAGAATTTGTCTGGAAAGTTGCATATATGAGTGGAGAGTAGATGTGAGGTTTGCAGAAGAGAAGAGTTGCTGCAGACAAGAGAATAGCACATATATAAACACCAAGTGTCAAATCATACACGCCAAGGGCTATCCATTTCTCTTTTAGTACTGACATTACTGTGCCCTACAATATTTCAGTTTGTATTTTCATTTTACCGAAAATGTTTTAAATTTTTTGGCTTTGATTCAAATTGAGAAGTATGTTGTTTACTTTGAACGTTTGAAAAATTAACTTCTATATTTCTCTTATCAGTTTTATAATACCCCTTATGATTTCAGCTCTTTTACAGTTGTTGAGGTGTAGCACAAATAATAAAAACCCCAGAGACAGATACTGGGATTAAAGCTGAAGATCAGAAAAGCAAAGCCGCCAGCCACTAGAGAGTTTTCGCCTCTCCCAATGCTCAGATTGAGGGGTCGATAGTGTCCTCTGATTGCATCTCCAAACTGCACTGCTCCTCAGACTGCCTAGACTGCAATGTGTTCCTGTCTTCTCCTGCCTTATATTCTTTTCTCCACCCAGCCATATCAATCCTGTCTCCACCTCCCTAATGCTGGGATTAAAGGTGTGAGCTCGGTTTCTCTTTTGGACTGATTCACTCTCCTGTAGCCCAGGGTGGCCTGGAACTCACAGAGATCTATCTGCCTGTCTTCTGAGTGCTGGGATAAAAGTATGTACCACCACTGCCTGGCTCTATGGCTAACTAGTATGGCTGCTTGGATTAAAGATGTGTACCACCACTGCCTGGTTCTATGACTAACTAGTATGGCTGCTGGGATTATGTGTATCACCATTGCCTGGCTCTGGCTAGCTTTGCATTCTGAACTTCAGGCAAGCTTTATTAAACCATAAACAAAATATCACCACACTGAGGTTTGTTTTATGCTTTAGATATGGTTATCTTAACCTATATTCCCTGGGCACTTGTAATGAATATGTATTCCTGTTATTCTAGATGGTTTGTTTTATAAATATTTTTTCCCTTTTTTTATTAGAAAGAAAATTATTTTACATGTCAATCCC